AGGCAGTGTGTCGTATAGGATCAAACCTATAGAAATCGTATAGAAATAATTTGTATTCAAAATATCCGTATCAAAATATCCGAATATCATATGTGAAAATCCTATATAAATTCTATACGCAATCCATTTTACCCCCATGAAATCGTATGAGATCACGAAAAACCCATTTTGTCCCCATGAAATCGTAAGAGGTCAGTAAATACCCATTTTACCCCAATGGAATCGTAAAAGTTCACAGAATACCCATTTTGCCCCAATGAAATCGTATGAAGTCAGAAAATACCCATTTAGCCCCTAAGAAACCATATGAGTTCACGAAGAACCTATTTTGTCCCAATTAAATGGCATGAGTACTAGAAAAACCCATTTAGCCCCTAAGAAATTGTAAAAGTTCACAGAATACCCATTTTGCCCCAATGAAATCGTATGTGGTAAGTAAATACTCATTTTACCCCCATTAAATTGTAGGAGTAGGGGGTGGGGGGGGGGCAAAACGGACCAAGGGGGTAAAACGGACCGGGGGGCAAAACGGACCCCTGGGGGCAAAATGGACCCCTAAAAAAAAGTTTTTTTTTTCTCACGAATAAAATTTTCCAAAATTCATCACTGAATAGGAGGGGTGAGAGTGATGGAGGAGGTGGTGGGCGGTGGGTGATGAAGTTAGATGCCAGATACTATTTTTGAACCAGTTAAACCTCGCAGGAAAGTTTTTTCTTTCAATAATGACACCTTTTTCACTTCGTAATTGACTTCTATAATTTATTATTAGAGGTGAACGTGAAAAGTATACTGCCATTAATGAAAATTGAGAACATCATGGTAAGATAACTTCATTCTAATGAATACGAAAATGTCCACGTTCTAATCAAAAGTCTTGGTGAAATTGGATGGAATGATGATGAATAAGAACAATGATGATTAATAAAAATAATAAATAATAACAGTGATGATTAATAACAAAAATAAATAATAACAATGATGATGAATAACAATAATGAATAATAACAAATATAAAATATGAGGTTAGTAATAAATAATAAAGTTTTAGTCTGATTCTTTGCACTCGTCACAAAAAAAGTACGTGGGTCCTGCATTTTCATCAATGTTAGCACAGGTACAATGAGCCTAACCGTTGCAACTCTGGCACTGAATCCACTCCCCACCACTGTCATAAAAACGTTTTTCACAATAAATGCATGGAACATTGTCTGCATCATTGGATTTCTTTCTGATTCCCCTCAAACTTGCCCCCCGG